GCTATGAGTCAGATCTGACTCGACAGCAGTGTTTGTTTTCAATAAAGAGATCTGGTGGTGCAGTGGTTAAAGCATTTATTTGTCTGCTAAACAAAAGGTCAGCAGTTTGAACCCACCAGCCACTCCACAGTAGAAAGATGAGGCAATCTGCTTCTGTAAAGATTTACAACCTTTAAATCTTTGGTACCAAAATTGTAAAATGGCAGAGTCCCTAGAAATATTTAATACCAAATTAATTATTTAATTAATAAATTAAATGGGACAGTTCCACTCTGCCTTATAGGGTCTCTACAAGTCAGAATCGACTCCATGGCAATGGGCTTTTTATATCAGTATTGGACTCAAAGTAACACAATTTCTTCTGTCACCTGACTCTATTTTTCAATTGCAAGTTGGTATTTGGGACAGGACAATTCATTTAGGTTTGGCACATGCATAGACATGCCTACTAAAGGCCATTATAGACACCCAGTACCTGTGACAGCCAATAATGCCCCTACTCTTTTGCAAATGCTCCCAGAAGTGGGGTGAACCCACTTCGGTAGAAAACCCTGGGTTAGGATGAGGTATGGCACTGGTCACTGAGATCCTCCATCATACATGGGAAAGCACTGGAATGAAGTGCTCAGGTCATAGAGCTAAACTACATGGGTTCACATCCCAGTGATGCTTGCTACCACCTGAATGGCCACAGGCAAATTACTTAATGTTCCCCACATGCAAATGGGGTGGATGATAGTACTCAATTTGTAGGAACTCTGAGAGAATTAAACTAGAGAATGCATGTAAAGTGTTACATACCCTACCTACCACTAAATGCTAGCTATCGTCTTTATTTATCTACGAGGCTTGCAACATATATTGAAAATTTCATATTCTGATATTTCTGTAATGTATAATGCTCTTTTTGTTTGTTTGTTTGTTTACTAAAATGGTGGCATAAGACAATTGGGAACAAGTTGTAGTTTTTTAAATTCATAAATATAAGTTATTAACTCACTGCTGTTGAGTCAATTTCTACTCATAGGGACCCCTTCTTGGGTTTCTGAGGTGGTATCATTATGGAAGTAGATTGCCCAACCTTCCTTCCAAGGAGTGGCTGGTGGGTTTGAACTGCCAGCCTTCTGGTTAG